GCCTGATATCATGAGGTCTGACTCAGTCCTCACTAGAAAACCCCTACTCTCATTGAGTCCCAAGGCCTCCTTGACCAAGAGCTGTGAATCACTAAATTCTACAAGAGAAGCAACCATTCCATTGCGTATCTGTTTTTCAGTTCTAATTCCTAAATTTTAAAAATAATGTCTTCTCTGTATTAAAACCACACACATGAAGTCAATCACTAGCCAAAATAATTGTGCAACTTTATCAATAGCATTTATAGAAGCCATCCAATACTTAGACACTATCTCACTATTCCCAGAGTTTGGTGCAACAGGATGCTTCTTCCTGTGTTTTGAAACACAGCCTGACATCATGGAACTGAAAACATATTTTTTCAATGCCTAGAAGCGTCTATGCTTCAGTACTTTTCTTCAGGTAGAAAAGGTGAGAAACAGTAACATACACCTTGTTTCATGGAATTATAATCCCTGGCTTTAATCAAATACACCTACCTCAAAATGTCTTTTTGAGGCTGGAAGGGAGGAGGGATGATTCTCTTATTTGGCAAAATGGAGAACAAAACAACCCAGTTATTAGTCAAAAGTCCCAAAGTATGTTAATGATGATATTAAAACAATTTTCTACTTTAGCTGTATTGGTCGGCAGACCAGAACTCTTTCCATTTATCCAAAAGACACACATTGATTTATTAATTTTTAATGATTATTAGGACGATTCTACCATCTGGGGATGCAAAGATGAATAAGAAAGACTCAGCTCTTAGGAGAGGCAGCGAAGCAAACAAAAGGTTCAAAGCCTCCTTCCATGAGGGTTTTGTTCCAGATCTCTCAGTCTCTGTGTTAGTGGAAGGTAAGGATAGAGGAGAACTGAGAGGCTAAAAACAGGGTTGACAGCAGATGCCTGGGCTGCCTTGTGTAGCAGTCAGCACTGAGGGCAGCATGGGCCCTGGGGGATGTGGTTAGGAAAAGGCCATTTTCCTGATAGAGTAACCTGCTTTTTTTGAGACAGGGTCTTGCTCTGTTGCCCAGGCTAGAGTGTAGTGGTACAATTAGAGCTCACTGCAGCCTTGAACTGCTGGGCTCAAGTAGCATTTCCACCTGAGCCTCCCGAGTAGCTAGGACTACAGGTCTGTGCTACCATACCTGGCACATTTAATTGTGTGTGCCTCTGTGTGTGTGTGTGTGTGTGTCTCAGGGAGGTGGGGGGACAAAGTGTTGCTATGTTGTCCAGGCTGGTCTTGAACTCCTGGTCTCAAGGGGCTCTCCTGCCTTGGCATCCCTAAGTGGTTTATAGGCATCCACTGGGATTACCCACTGGGGTTATTCACAGGCATGTGCCACTGTGTCTAGCCCTGAAGTCAGCCCAGAATAGATGAGAATGAGCTATCTACTGAAGAAGCTACCTTGAGAGGTAGTTGTGAGTATAATCCTTGGGAGTGGAGAGCAGGACAACTGTAACCAAGGGGACCATAGAACTTTGAGGCTGAAGCTGAAACCAGATGACTTGCATTGCACCTGTCTGAAATCATGCAAGGAGACAGGAAGGGAGTGGGCATCCATTAGTGTGTCCCAGCCCTGATGCAGGCAGAGGGTGCCCTGAGCCTTTCCCTCATGGGAGCCCTTCATGTTGCCAGCATTCTGACCCATCTCAGGTGTGCTTCCTGTACTGAAAATGAGCAGGCATCTGCTATAAACCCTTTAACAGCCTCCAATACCCTTAACCAATGTACTTTGCTTTGATTCCATCCCACCAAGCTCCTGAAGTTGGTTTCTCCTATAGATTTTCTTAGGAAAGAGGAGGTGCTGTCTCACAAATATAATCAGTAACCACTCAGTAGTAATGAATCTGTTAATTGATATATTGTCATCCTGGTTAATGTATTTTCTTGTGACTCTGATAGGTATGCATCAGATAAGTTGGGAGGGAACTAATAAAATCCATTCCTCAAGCCTGCAAAGCTAAAGACCAGAAATGAGACTTTCCAAGGTGGTTGTAATTTTCTTGGCCACCCTAGTTCCATTATCTGGAATGTTGTCTAACATTTAGTTAGGTGCTCAATAAGTGTTACCATTATTACCATAAAAATATTACTATTTGTTTGCTGATTTATTTTTATGGGCCGGGCATGGTGGCTCCCACCTGTAATCCTAGTGATGGCAGCAGCGGCCCATCTGGAGCAGTCACTGCAAAGACACCTACTGCAATGTGGGAGGCACAGCCAGGACTGTGGACATGGAGCTGGTGGACTGGGAACAGAAGGGAAGGAACAAAACCTTCTTCTGAGTTGGCAGGGCAGGAGCCCCACCCTCTGTGGCTACAGACAGGGGCATCCCTGTGCTCTCAGGGACCTGGGAAGCCCCTCTACCCCACAGGCTCAAAGTGCCTGCTCTGACTGCCTGCCCTCTCCCCACTCCCGGAGACTGCTCTGGGGTGGAGCAAAGTTGTGGCTGAGCCCAGGGACGATTGTGACCTGTCTGGGTGTGTGCACACTCAGGGTGGCACTGACAGGCCAGTCCCAGCTGCCTCAGCCCCCTCCAGACTTTGGGCATTGATGAGCATAGAAGGGAGGCTAAGAACGGGCTGACGGTGGCTCAGCACAGGCCTGCAGGCACCCCTTGGCATGAACAGCCTTGTGCTTTGGATGACATGTAGAAGGCAGCAGGAAGCAGACAGGCTCCTGGGTGGAAAGGGGTGGGTCACCAGCTAAGACCCGCCTTCAAGCCAGAGATGGTCTGAAGCCTGGGGGAGGCACTGTCAGTTCTGGGTGGAGTCCATGGCACAGAATGAGAATTTATGGTGTTTTTTCTGGCTTGGCCATGGCTACTCATGGACCGAGGAGCACACTCTTCTTCCCTTCTGAAGCCCATAAAAACCCCAGACTCAGCCAGACTCACAGAGACATTGGGACTGCCAGCTGTGGGAAGGAGCTACCAATTTAGGGTCTCCTGGACTGGTCAGGATGACCTGCCTGTGGAAAAGAGCTACCAACTTCAGATCTCCTGAGAGCTGTTCTGTCACTCAATGAAGCTCCTCTCCACCTTGCTCATCCTCTAGCTGTCTGTGTATCTCATCTTTCCTAGATGCAGGACAAGAACTCAGGACCTGGCAGGACTGAAAGAGCTGTAACACAAACAGGGCTGAAACATACTCCCTCTTGCCCCCCCCCCCCGCCACCTCTGTTTACCATGTTGCAGGCGATAAGACGGAGAGAAGAGCTGCTGCCCTTTGGGGATCCTAGACCTAGGGGCTCCCTGAGTGAGCCAGGGTTGTGACACCCTCTTTGGGGCTCTGTGGCTCCTGGCATTTCCAAGCTTCTATGGCCATCATGTTCCCTGGTGCCTGCAGTGGAAGCTGCTTGTGGTATGCCTCATCCAGCTGCAGCTTTGCATGGAACTGGCGCTTGTGCCAGCTCCTGGAGCTGCTCACTTTGCTGTAGCTGACCTGCCTGATGTGTGCAGTGGCCAGACGCTGGGCTTGCTCACACACCCCTTGCTGTTCTGTCCCTGACTTGCCCTTGGCAGGCAGGGGATCCAAGCTGGTAATGTGAGCCAAGCACAGCTTGCAGGGTCAAGCAGGTGAAATGAGCCCAGTGGGCCCAAGCAAAACTAGGACAAAGGTGCCACCAGTCACAGAGGTTTCTGGCTGGAAAAGTGACACCCTAAGGGTGCTGTGACACCAGCACTTTGGGAGGCTGAGGTGGGTGGATCGCCTGAGGTCAGGAGTTGGAGACCAGCCTGACCGATATGGTGAAACCCTGTCTCTACTAAAAATACAAAAATTCACTGGGCATGTTTGTGTGTGCCTCTAATCCCAGCTACTTGGGAGGCTGAGGCACAAGAACTGCTTGAACTTGGGAGGCAGATGTTGCAGTAAGCCAAGATTGCACCACTGCATTCCAGCTTGGGTGACGGAATGCAGCTCTGTCTCAAACTATATATATTTTTTTATGGCCAAGGGAATTATCAACACAGAAATGCCACATATGTTTAAGCCACTCATCTCTACATGCCTGCAAAGTAGCACGTCCTCTGAAGGCAGGGATCTGACCCAATGCCCTGCACATACAGGTGCTCCCACTGGGTGCCGTTAATGAACAGCCTATCTGGTGCTTGAAGTTGCTAAATTGTGAAAGAGGAGACCAAGTCTGTCTTCTGTCCCTATTTCTCCTCTTCAGCATTTTCCCACTTCTATTTGGTTCCGTTGTCTTTCCCTGTCAATCCCCAAGTAGGCAGCTCGAGTTAAATTCCCACCTCCCTGAGAGTCCCTAAAGCTGTGCCCCTCGGGCAGCACCCGCACCATGCATTTCACACTTCCTTGCCTGCCCTATCACAGCCTGCACCACAATGTCCTATAACATTGAAAAGGATGGAGAGGGAACAGCTAGGCAAGGGTTATAGTAGGATAATAACTGGAAAGGAAGCCTATTCGCTAGCTTTCAGGAATGATGCCAGCAATTTTAAAGCAGTATAAGAAGTTTCAGTTTGGTATGAGGGAGAAGGAATTGTCTTGATTTGGGGAGAAGAGATCTTCTCCCATCTTCTCCCCTCTGAAACCACAAGTGGACTTAGAAAAGTTGGTGATGTGTGGTTTGGTAAACAAGTTCAGCTTTGACATGAAGATTGACCTGTTTTGACATTGATTGATGGATTTGACATGCAGATGACCTGAGATCGGTGCTCCTGTCAGTCTTAAAAACAAACAAACAACTCATACTACTATATCGATTGAGACAAAGAAAAACAAACAAACAAACAAACAAAACCCCCTACGTTTTGGACCTGACCTAGTTGTTCACCTAGGCATGTGTGATCCCAGGCCAGTTTTCTGTCTAAAATAAGGGTCATCGTAATGTGACCCTTTCCTATTGCACAAAGATGTGATGATAAAGTAAGCTGTTCTACATTCTACCTATGTGTGCGTTGGGCAGTGAGTGGGGGAGGGATCATGTCTGTTTTGCTTCCTTTGTTTCTATATTGTTTAGAAGATGCTCATTAATACTTGACTTAATGAGCTGTCAGGTGGGATAACCTTTACCTGTTCCTCCTTTTGGAGGGCAGTTAGAGAACATGATGATTGGAGATGCACGAAATGTGACTAACATCTCTGTGTAATCAGGACTTGCAACACCCTGATTGCTCCTATCTGATTCTTCCTAAGAAAAAACCAAAGCAAAACAAAAGAAAAACTTGACTTAATAAATGGCGGTGCAGTTGGGTTGACTCTCGCATTACTGATGCCCAAGCCTTAGCGCGCATCAGGACCACTCGAGGGTCTTGTTCAGGGCCGGCTGCCAGGACCCACCCAGGGAGGTTTGGGTTCAATAAGCCTGGGGTGGAGCCCAAGAACCTGCATCTAACGACTTCCCCCTGTGCTGTGACGCTGCGGGCGGGGACCAGGCGCCCACGGGCAGGCGGCAGCTCGGAAAGGGGCCAGCAGGTGGCGCGGTCGCCGAGCCCGGCCTTCCCCCGGCGCCGAGGGAAGCGGGTCAGCGGTGGCCTCCATCCCAGCCAAGCGTGCACTCCATCCTCCGGAAAAAAAAAGTCTTTGAGCTTCCTTTTCAGTGACCCTGTTTTGGGGGTTGAACCCTTGCGAGTAAGAAAACCCCTCGTAAATTTTAATGGAACGATCACATCACACGTGGTTGACGAAGCCCTTCCCTACTTGCCTTGTGTGACCCACTGTCGCCGCCAGGGCTAGTGGCTTGGTGGAGGGGACACGCCCGCTGCCCCGGCTGCGGACCTCGGGCTCCTCCCCTGAGCTGGGCGGAGGGCGCTGTCCGCTTTGTTAGGAAGCTGCCGGGAGGCAACGCGGGAAAAGTGCCTTACACAGCATAAGGGCTCAATCCACATTAAGGAAGTAGGCAGGAAAAAGTGTCAGTCGAATAGCCAGTGACAGTTCCTTAGGGGAGAAATGAATTTGGGTTTAGCTGTCCAGTAGAACTCTGCTGTCTACACTGTCCAGCACAGCCATAGGTGGCCATTGAGGACGTAAAACACGGTGAGGGTGATGAGAGAATTGAATTTTAAATTGTATTTAATTTTCATTAAATTTAAAGTATTGGATGGCACAGGTTTAGCAAAACACCTCGCTGAATTGTGAAAAGATGTCCCTTAAGCCTTAGGGCATGGCTGGCAACTGATAAGAGGTAGTTCAGTCTCTGTCTAAAAAGGTGTAGGAATTTTAGTGGGTGGGGCAACCTGACCAGCAAGGAACGGAATAGAGGTTGGGGGCAAAGGGCCAGAGGTATTGCAAGGTGTTAGTGACTAAGCCAATGAGAAAGGAAGTCAGGAAAACCTGTCCAATGGCAGCAATGGCTCAAGGGGAATTTAAAAGCTGGAATGCGTCATGTTCAGTCTTAAGTTATTTACCCAGCAGTAGAATGGTGTTACTTCTTTCTGTTGCCTGTCCCTTCAGAAATGTCTGCTTAACACAGAGCCTGGAGGTGGCAGCAATTAGGGAGTGAAGAGATGACAAGATGTGGGGGTGTCCAGTGGATGTGATTCCTTCAGGAAAGGTGAGAGCAAATTCAGGAGGGAACAGGAGAGAGAGGAAGAATTCAGCACAAGCAGGATCTAGGGACTGGGAGACTGCAGTGATATTGTCAGGAGGATGCCTTTTCCACTGCAGAGGGGATGGAGATTTTTGAACCTCTTTTAATTAAATCTTAAAGATAACAGCAACTCCAGGAAGTGGGAAGACTTGCACCTCCAGGCCTCTGCTTCAAAGCATTTCTTCAGATTAATGCTTCCTGACTTAAATAACCTCACAGAGCAGGCGTCTCTTGAAGGGCCTCACTGCCGACTGCAGGTGTGAGTGGGAAAGGGGACCAGGAGGGCTTGAGCAATGCTACAGCAGGCAGGCAGCAAGCAGCGGCACCAGCGTCTTGCTAAATTTATAAAGCGTAGCATCACTTTTTCTGGACTTCTGTCTCTCTCTATGGTATCCAGCAATAATGAGTCACTGTCCACCTGCTCCCAATTTCTGTAGTTGTGTGTGTGTGTGTGTCTCTGTGTGTGTGTCTGTGTGTGTGTGTGTGCATGAGAGAGAGAACAGATGCAAAATGAGGTGCAGCTTCGGTGCTAGGCATACTTCCTGTGCTGAGACACAGCGCCTCCTAGTCATTATCTCTGCTGCAGTCTTACAAGATACCTCCTGAGTGTGATAATATGGCATCAACCCTCTCTTGCAAGTGATTTTATGACAAAACTCTCGGGTGAAGCTTTGTCCGCCACCTCTTTCCTGCTTGGAACCTGGAGGTAGATCAAATATCACCTCTTAGTAGCCACCTGTGACTCATAGCCCCAAGAGCTGCCTCTCCGACCAGGAAGGGTTTGGATAGAGAACCGGGAAGGGAGAGAATACAGGCTTTCCAAAGAAGGGACTGTGTTTTCCCTGGTCCCTCTGTTCTATCCAAGTAAAGCTAGTTATCCAGCTACAGCACATGATAATTTATTTGATCCTGTTTTTGCCCACCGGATCTCTCAGCCGCTCCTTACTGTACCCTCCACCTTCTAACCCTGTTCTGTAGTCACCTCCTTGAAGAAACGCCACCGAGCAGAACCTCCTGGCTTCACTCTTGCAAGCACCCTTGTGTCCATCAGCATGGTTGCTCAGGGCAACTCCCAGTGGAGGTGGGGCAAGTGGGTAATCCCTGGTGGGGTTTGAGAGTATCACATGTTTTTCCACAAAGCGCCCATTAAAATAATTATATTGGCTGGGCGCGGTGGCTCATGCCTATAATCCTAGCACTTTGGGAGGCCGAGGTGGGTGGATCAACTGAGGTCAGGAGTTCAAGACCAGGCTGGCCATCATGGTGAAACCCCATCTTTAAAAATAATAATAATAATAATTATTATTATTATTATATTACCTGGGTGGGTTGAGGAGAATGGCAGCATTCAGCTGGCAGACTGGCAAAGAATATTCCACCAAATTAAGTAGAAGTCACTGGTCTAGGAAGGGAAGCATCAGGGAAGAGAGCATTTTTTTTTTTCTGAGACAGCACCATCTCGGCTTACTGCAACCTCGGCCTCCTGGGTTCAAGTGCTTGCAGAGAGTTTTTTTTTTTTGTTTTTTTTTTTTTTAATGAAGGCAAGATGAGAGGTGGAGGAGAATGATGGAGAGGGATGACAGGGAAATGGAAACCTAAAGGGGCTATGCAAGAAGAATTATAGTTTGCATGGGATAGGGAGGAGAATGAGTCTTGAGATTTTAAAAGGGAGGTTAACATGGATTCACATTGTGGCTCAGCTACCATCTGTGCGACCGCCTTGCAGCCCATCTCAGGTTTATTTTCCTTATGGGTACAGGGTTGTCATGAGGATCTCATGAGATTACGTACATGAAGCTCACACCTTAGAAGGCACATGCATACATCACGTTTGCTTAAGATTGGTCCCCCCTCCTGCCACAGGAAGGAAAAGCAACAGTCACAGCAGAGGCCCGGAGGCATCATAGTGTACATCCATGCCGTCGTTAGACCTCTCAGAGCACTTTCCTATAGGTCATCACGATTGTCCAAGCTCTAACAATCTCAAGAGGTGAGAGCCTCCAGCAGTGCCCCTGCTTGCAGAGAGACAGAGTTAAGATCCCAGTCAGCTTGGTGGTAAACTAGAGCAGAACTTTTGAGTCTTCTGAGCCTTGAATCTGGTCTGGTTCTCAAAAGCTTTTTGATAACCCACGCCACACCTTTAAACCTGGCGTGTTTAGTGCATTTAATTAGTTGGGCAAAGAATAACATAGGCACTTTTGAGAGACACTAATTGTGTGTGGTTAATTGGGAACTTGTCTGGGTGTGTGGTGTCTGTCTGCTATGCACTGTGAAAGGCAGAGTCTGCTGCCTTTGCAGGAAATTAGCAGTTGACACTGCTGTTTTCCTGCTGTGCCAAGCCAGCCAGAAGGAACTGTGCCAGGTTCTTAAGGGCTTCTGGGCCCAGCTTTGCTGATGAAGACACAGGAACCTGAAGTGCTTTAATGAGGCTGTGTGTGGATTAATTCGGGTTCAAGACTATGTTGGCGTGAACTGAGCTTTGAGTGACGGGTGTGAAAAAGAGTACCAGGTGCTTGCAAGGCAAGGGCAAAAGAGTAAAGGATGTCCCAGTAAGGAAGCGACATCATCACTGACTACCACTCTTTTAGTACAACTAACACATCATCTATGGAACAATTACTATGCGTCAGGCAACATGCTGGCTGTTTTCCTCACGTGATCTCTTGAATCATCACAGCAGCCCTATAAGAAACCATTTATATTACTCCAAATTACAGATGAGGAAACAAAAGCTCTCTTAGCAAGGTTGAATAGCTCTTCTAAGGTACATAATAGAAAATAAGAAGGCATCATTTGAATCTCAGGCTTTCTATCTTCAGATCATTTGCTTTTTACACCTGCACTCCATTGTCTGTCACCAAACCAATCTGATAAATGACCCAGATCACAATATTGATTGGCAAGAAGGGGGAGATATCTTATGGCATAGGCATTTTGTTGGACAGGTTGGCCTGTGTCCACAAAGAAGACCAGGTCAATTCCACGGCACCAAGACAGCATTGCAAAGGCTCGGGTCACATTGTGTCCTCCTTTCTAAATCCCTCTAATCAATTGAACACAGGAAGAATTCACAAGATTGGTTACTATCTAGATTACTTTGTCCAGGGTCCTCAAAGGAGTGGGCTGAGCATTGGGATGGGGTCCTAGTAAGGAGGGCGGTTGCATGCCGGACCATCATATTATTATGAGTTAGCAGTTCCTGAGCGTTACCATGCACCAGGCATTCTGCTAAGTGCTGTCATGTCTCACATAATCCTCATCATAACTCCATGAAGTGGGAACACTTATATCCAGTTATCTATGCAAAAACTGAGGCTTAGTTTGAGTAACCTGCCTGGAGTCTTACAGGAAATGCTGCAGCTGTGATTCAAACCCAAGTCGATTTGAAGCTAAGCCAAGCTTCTCAACCTTGATGCTCTGTTACCACCGTTCGAGGCAACCAATACATGTGGCTCAATTGATTTGGAGATTATCACCACCGCCATCCTTTCCCAAATAATATGAGTGGCCTTGTGAATGTGTGGGCTCCCAGTCACCAGAATGGCTCACTTAGAGCCTGTCTGAGAGATCACACCTTGGGGGAGGTTGGACAAAACC